ATACAATTTAGAAAAATAATAAAAGTGCTGAAAGTTTAATTTCGAACCGTTCTGGACCTTCAGGGTCCGTCGGTTGGTTCTGCTCACCAGGTGAGGCCCGGAAGTCTCGAGGCTCTGACCGACAGTTCTGGTTCTGGTTCTGGTTCCGCAGGTCTGGTTCAAGAACCGGCGGGCCAAGTGGAGGAGACAGAAGCGCTCCTCCTCCGAGGAGTCGGAGAACTCTCAGAACCGGGTCAAACCCAAAGCGGACAAACTGGACGGAACCAGGAGCGACGTGGACTCGGACAGCTGATAACGGAGGCGCGGTCACGTGACGTGAAGTTGCACACCTGTACACACCTGCGGTCTGGTTCTTGTTGACTCTTAATTTATATTTAATTTAAGACGTTTCTGTGGGACGCGCGCGCGCGCGCGCGGACGGACGCTGTCCGATCACGCGCGCTCCTTGTCACATATCGTGGAGAGCTGTGTGATGGGGTGTCAGCTTCACACAGCTATCGTGGAGGAGGTTTTAAATGTTGTGCACGCGCACGGTCTGTTGAGGCGCGCTCACGTGTTGTTGATCAGAAATGATCCGCGCGCGTTTTGTTGTTTTTAAAGCTTCTGAATGAAAACTTGTTTTACTGCAGAGAAACTAAACAACCTGTTTATGTTTTATATTTAAACTGAAATAAGATGCAGCTGCAATTTAGTTTATTTTGTTCACGTGAAAAGAAAAAAAAATCAAACTTTGGGATTTCTAAAATGATCTAATTCTGAAAATTAATGAACAAAAACAAAATTAATCCTGTTGAAAGTTCAGCTGAGATTTGTTTTGAAATATTTCAGGACCTTAAAGGTACTCACTGTAACAAACTAATCATTTTTTCTTTGTATCAACATTTATTATAAAAACACACACACCTGCCATAAAGCAGGCATTTGTTTAGCTACTAAAACAGCCGAAGTGACTGAAAACTTTGGCAACAGAAAAGCTGTTTCTTYATATTTATTCAGAGCAGATTYAAGTTCTTWGTTTACGTTGAGTGCGTACCCACATTTCACGTAAATATAAATTTTATTCCTTCGAACGACAACATTTTGATGAAGTTCAGATTATTTTTTTTACATTTAACTTCAGTTTGCGACGAGTACCTTTAAAGCTGCATCATTTTATTTATGACTGTAAATATGATTGTTGTTAATATTTTAAATGTCCTAAATATTTAAGACAAATGTCTTTTACAAAAATAAAACCGAAAAAAATAAAATAAAATCCTGCCAGACTAAAAAGCTGGATTGGTTTGATGAGAAKGATCGGTTCTTCTGAACGTCTCAATAAATATTGTGAATAAATGTTTTTCTGTCATTTCAAACTTTACGAAACAACAAACAGTTTTTGCTCTGACATCCTTCAGGTCAAACAAACAGCTTGAATGATTTCAGTTAAAAACATGAAAATTTGAGGCAATAAAAAGTTCATGGTAGAAAGAAATGTTTGTTTTTGGATCTTGAGCAACAGAAAGTAAATGTTTGTCAAATATTATGAACTCAAAACAAGAAAATTAAATCTGAACAATAAAAAAGGATTTTTATGACAATTTGCAGCTTTAGTGGAGTTTTTCTTTTGACTTTTTATATTAAAAAAGAAAACAAAGCCAAACTGGTTCAGATTTCACTTTCTGTAGATTAATTTTGATTTTAAAACAGAATTTAATCCAGATTATCAGTTTTTCTGCCCAGCTGCACTCGGCTCGTCTGATGGCTGGGTGGTTCTGTTCTCAGTGGACCTCAGAGGTCCGGTTCTGCCTGACAGAACAATCCTGCAGCTTCAAACCTTCTTTGATCCATAAAACGTCTTTAAAACGACTGATGAGGATCAGATCAGTGTTTGTTTGTTTGTTTGTTTATTTTCTGTAGAAATGGAAACAAATAATACAGAACAAAAAGTTCTGCTGCACATTTTTATCCCCAAAACCAGTAAAATGCTGTGAATATTTCCTCGCAGACGTCAGACGGATCAGCAGGAAACTGTTTCCCACATTTTTCCAAGGAATTCCAAACAAACTGCAGCAGAACGCTGTGTGCCCACTGAGTCCTGGTTCTGGTTCTGGTTCTGGTCCTGTTACCGAGCCGAGAAACGAGCTGCCGAGGCCACAGATGGAAGGTTTGATCACAACAGAGACATTCTCAGATTATTTATTCTGGGGCTTTTGGTTCAGCTTCACAAATAAACTGAGCTGAAGCACAGAGGAGCTCTCGTTCCTCAGATCTGAAGGTTTGCAGAAAAAACCCAAAACAAGAACTGAAGATCAGAACCTGCTGCTGACGGCTTCATCGTTACTTTAATCTGTACAAATCAGTTTAAGATCTGAAATCAGCCTCAGAGCATCTGAGAAGTTCTGCAGGTCGACCCGTTAAAATGTCTGTTCTCATTTTTTACTCTGAGCCAGGGGYGGACTGGGGCAAAAACGTGGCCCGGGAATTTAGTACCTGACTGGCCCATTCAAGGTCCGGGCTGACAGATGATGTCTGCAGATGCTGGAGGAAACAACAAACGTCATCTCACTGTGCAAAATGTAAGGATGTAATGTTGAGGAATTAATAAAGTTATTAAGTTAGCGGAGCAGCAGTTAGCTCGGTCAGGGCATGTTTTGGTCAGTGGATTTTCATTTTCGAAACAGGTATTAAAAAACAAACGATTGGATATTTGATTTTTGTTTTAACTAAAATACTGAAATTGAAATTTAAAGCATTTCTCATTCTTAGTGTCAAAATGGGATAAACAAAATTCTAAAACTGATTTCAGTTTCATTTTCTGTTTCAGATAACAAAAAAGAAAATTAGTTTAAGGTAGAAACGAGAAAAGGCTTGTTTGTTTATAATTCACGACAGGTCGTAGCAACTGACTGTCTCCCTACAATAAACTGTTTCACCACCAGAAGGCGTGTCTGCAATATCAGAGTTATTCAATGAACATCTCATTACAAGTAAAAAGCATTGATGTTGACTTTGGTATCAAATATATTTGCCAAGTATTTATAAAAAAGTCATAGTACTGCACACCCTGAAACTCCAAGGAGACAAACTGAGAGAAAAAAGCACAGATTTTGTCAAAACTCAGGAGGGAAAAAAAACCTTTCTGCTCACAGAACAACAACTGAACAACACACTCATATAATGAAAGTTGTCATATTTTGCTTTTTATTGAGAGAAGTGGAGGTGAAGTGGAGGCAGTCGCTGACATGTATTCAGTAAAACAGACTTATTTGGCCAAAAACCACATGAAGTATCTCTGCAGCCTTTGGTCAGAGAGACAGTCATCATACAACTCATTTATGGACATATTTCTCTGTGTTTCAGCCTTTTATTTACAGAAATTAGTATTTTATTATGCAGAGCTGCCAGGTGAGCGCCCCTTCTGGTGGGGGAATAGATCGTCGGACAATACAAATA